AGAGTTGGAGTTAGGTTTAGGGTTAGGGTTAGTGCTGGTGAGATAGATTAATGTTGGCCGAGAGTGATCACGTGAATCAACACCTGAGGCAAAAGGCGTCTAAGGCACAACATATAAGTAAACGAGTAAATTAAAAATAGGATGTTGGTTTTTAATATTCCAATTGTTATGAAATAACTTTTTGAAGGAAGAAAAAGTGGGGGTTTTTAATGTATTCCATTTCACTGGTAACTATTACCATATATCTCTTTCGCAACAATATCTTTACATTGGGTAGTTTGCAAATAAAGAAAAAATGCATAACATCACAATCACGCATACATTGTGAATACTAAACAAAGGATATAAGTTTTGCTTATTCAATATGTGTCAGCTTAACGTTAAGAGCTTGAAATAATGTCTTTATAGAACGATTGTTTTATGCATATTTATTTATTTTTAGTTTTTATGCAGAAGTCTTGATTTTGTCAGATAATCATCGATACGAGTTTAGGTACCTTTTGTTTTCATGATAAAGGGGCTGTTGGCTGTTTTCTAGACTTGTATTGAACTCTATCGTAGTCTAATATCCGCTAGTTTGGAATAATCACTGTTCGTGTTTTATCGAGTAAATACGTAAAGTGAATCTATAGCAAGTACATGGTTGATCCTTCGATGCATTTAACAATTAAACGTAATGCAGATGCATGTACCTGAAAACGGACTTTTGTGTACTTGGCGACAAAGTCAACAATGGTAGAAACTCTTTAACAAGTTGATTTTTAAAATCGTTGAAAGGTGCGTATGTGTTTTCTATCTCTATGGGTTGCATCATTGTTGAAAATCGTACACGTGCATTTGAAAACTGGGGGATTAAAGGATTTATCGTCTTCCAATTATCCGGTTTGTCCACCTTATTGAAACATGAAGTACAATGACTCGAAATATGTTAATTTAACGTTCAGCAGACACCAATTCTATCGAATATAGATGTGGCTTGAGATTGTCATTATTTATAAAGAATTGTCTTTGTCTCAACCAGCTACAGTATGTATTGTGAACAAATTTTATTTCCAACAGTTTTGTTTGGAATAAACATGACAGAAACTGGAGGATCATCCTCGAAGCGTCCATCGAAAGTCTTATCGATAATAATAAAGTATTTTACTTAAATAATTAAATAAAATCTTTAGACAATGGAAATTTTTTAAACTTTGTGTTTGCTTGCTATCAATTTCGGCTTTGAGCGGAAGTCGCTTACCAAAATTACCACGTCCCCTTTTTTCAACCCTAAGTTGTTTTCAAAAAGTTAATCTCAAGCCAATTTTTCTGTGATGAGATTGAGGTGAAAAAAAGATGAAAAGCTGACTTGTCCAGTTGCACCCATTCCGAATAAACGAATGGTGCTATTATATAGTATAATTAATGTATGCATATTTGATCTTTCTAATATTCGGCTAAAGCGATAGAAAAGAATCCTTAAAATCCAACCATTACTAAAACTAGTGACGAACACTGCACCATAATGTCGGCTTATAACCAATTAAACGACACGGGATTTTTTAGATATTAGGACGCACACTGAGAAAAGACACATTTTGGTCATTTAGAAACAATTATTCGAAAAACCCTTTTTAACTATAGAATTTCTGTTATTAAAGTCACCACCACACATTCCTTCGATGCAAGGGTGCACACTCATAACATGGATTTAAACAATCGCATAAACACAAAAACCCTTCGAATTTAGTGCTTTTCTTATCGTCTTTAAGAGAAGGACAATAGAGTAAACCAAATTACAAATCAGCATCGCCCATCACCCTTGCTTATCCAAAGTGGTTAATCGAACAGCAATTCAACGTGACCAAAATTAACCGTACCATACTTTTATTACGATTTATCAGATTTTACATCAGATTTATCAATTTTATTATTCCTCGGTATTATTATCACGAATTAACTAGATGACCCAGTAAAAAATGTGTAAGTTTTTTTTTTTTTTTGCTATTATATATACATTACCTAATTATGTTCACGTGGCTAAGCAAGTATCATTTTCTAGCGACTTTTTTTCTCGGTACCCGGAAATCTTCGAACGCCTACAATATTCGATTCTTACTTTCGCAAAAATAATCGTCTTTTTATAGAGAATGCTAGCTATATGCCAGCCTCTTACGTCCCCACTCGTCTTTAAGTATTCGTTTTTCGCTTTTACTGGTCATAGATAATTAACATTGTGTGTCCGAACTTTTTTAACTTCTTTTTTTTCTTCTTTCTATGCTTTTTCTTATAAAAAATCTATAGACAAAAAATTCAAAAAAAAATTTTATTACTACTTGCTAAATTTTATGCCATAAAAAATACACCAAAAAAATTTTTTTATGTTTTTCGTTTTGTCTTATTCTTTTTGTCGTTATTCTTTTTTTTGTCGCAATTTTTCTTTATCATCCGATTTGTTTCTCAATTTTCTTGTTCCCTAAAAACAACCAAACTGGATCTTGTAATTCAATCTCGTTTTTTTTTTACAATCAAATCGTTTTCACAATAAACTTGTTTGCTTTAAAGTCTGTAATACTTTTACGAATTATTATTTCATTGATTTTAAAGTACTTTTATTGTTTTGATTGATCTTAATGCAACTGGTAAGCTAGGATTAAAATGGAACTACTTCGATATTTTATTTGCATATTCAATTTGAATCCAATACATTATCATAAATAAATTCGGATGACTAGAGAAACTGAAATTTCTGGCATTCACGTCTATATTGACGCTCATTGATACTCGCTTCTCATACAAAACAGGTTCAGTGGGAGGAGTATCTGCCAAAGGGTATCCCTATTTTCAACAAAAAGTTGTTTTATCGCTTACAAATCGCATATATAATCCAACCATAACAAGTTACGCATTGTTTTTCTTCGGAAACGAAAAAGCAAGAACTTGTCTCTTCGCATCGTGTGGTGCTTCTTCCAATAATTTACGGCGAAGTAAGATTTTTATCGCGCATCATGAGTAGGTGCATCATCAAATAATCTCTCGTACCTTACATGTATCAATCATTCGTGGACACAGATATTCTGGCGAAAAATGCGTGCATTAGAAAATCCAGGTATATGCAACGTGAATGTAGCCAAAACTTGATCACTATTGCGCACATTTATCGATGGATGGCATAGAGGAATTAAAGCAAGGAGGGGAGCAATATTTTTATTTTGATGTGAACGGAATCTTTTGACATTAACTGTAACTTTATTTAATGTAAATCAATAAAAAAAAAATGGTTTCTAACTTTTTTGAAATAAGAAATTAACGCAAAATTTTTGCATGGTTGCATGCTTCATTTATGTAACCAATCGTTGCCGCCAAAACTTTAATCAGTATGAAGATTATTTCCCAATACGATACGTGCCAGGAGGGGTGATTCATGCATGAGAGTACATTACGCCTTTCTATTTCGTGGTAAATTTTATAAAAAAAAGGGAGGTTTTGCATGATTTTCTCATGCATTATCGACTTGCATTAGTATTGTTCTCTGTTTTTGTATCGATATTCTTTTCTATTTAAACAGTCGAATTCAATATTCGGCATTTCACTCATGTTATACCGAATGTATTTTTCTGAGACAAAGATTCGAGAAGATAGTAGAATCGTTGATAGAAACATTCCAAGAATGAAGTTGAAGGATTTTGATAGTCGAAAATTCGATATATTGATTGTGTGAAATATTTATTGCACGCACATAATAGAAATAGTCATATCCGCACAAATTTTGTAGTCTAGTTCCAAATAAAGAATACCACTCGTCAACTGATGAGAACGCCAACTCACATGGTACCAGATCAACGGAAAAACTGTGAATTGGCGTAATTACTGGAAAACGCCCATGTAGCTACTATTCACCAACATCAATTGAGCAAGCACAATGATTCACACAAGAAATTTTGTCCAGCCGTGCATCCTTGAAATTTTTTATTTTTAAAACCTAAAATTTGATAGGTCTTTGGTTGGTTCCTTGGAAAAAATAGTTATTTAAATCAAAGCTTTAATGATTTGAATTTCCTTACCACTTTTACTTTCTTTTTACAATGTCAAAAATTTCCAACGTGGTAGTTCTGATATAAGATTATAAACCAACCTTTTGCAATGAAATAAAGTGCTGCTATCTTTATTGAAACTAGTTAGCACGCTCGCAATATCGTCTTTCTCAAATACTAAACGTCTCAGATTAAAAATCAAAAATGGCAGGCTTTGAGAGTCATGTGCCAATTTCGTTGATTTTTTGGTAAATTACGTAAGTTCTCGGAACTGCATGACATTATGTTTATTTAATGGTATTAATATCAACATGAATATATATATATATATATATATATATGTATAGGCTTGTCGGATCACCCCATTCGGTCGGTAGGGGCCCGCACCTCGTTTATATCCTACTATAATTCCAGACTATTGGAAAGTGAAATTTTTCGATACGATTCTATGATACCATTCGTTTCTATAACACATTCACCGTCTAAAAACAAACAAACAAACAAACAAACAAACAACAAAAAGACTCGATGTCTCTAAACTACCTCTATATATAGAAGAATATACTTTTTATATTCAATTGAATCGTTTCTTTAAAGTTCTACTCCTGTGTAAATAGTCTAATGTTCTTGTCAAATCAAATCGATCTGTTAACAACTCGAATACACCAGTTCTTTCGTGAAATAAATTTATTATCTTACGATTTTTGCGATGAAAAGATTTGTAGGATTATTTTTTGAGTGTGGTTTTCAAATAGAGTGCGCTGTTCTTTCTGATTTGAATAAATTTTATTTCTTTCAATTTTTTATTTAGAATTCGAGTGTTCCGAAAATGTTTTATTGTATATTTAAGTATCATTGAAATCAAACTCTAGACATTTATGCTCTATCTAGCATATACTCAACGTGCCATTCAATATATCTATTTAGTAAATTGATTGTTCACTCCTACAGTTTGTGTTTTCAACATACAAAAAAATGCAATCAATCTCAAGTAATCGGTCTATTGACATCTACAGAAACCAAGCTCCACAATAGACCTATAAGAATAGTGTTGAGCTCTGCAATTCTCAGGGGAAGCGTTACGCTAACATATGACGGCAAGAACTCCCAAAATGGCCATGCAATAACTGAAATATCTTGACGTAATCCCCACTCTACAATTTTTGCCAACTTTTCAGGGCTAGCGATAAGCCAACCGGGAAAAGGCAATGGTGCTTTAGGATCTTGTGTCATTCGTGAGCCAATTAAACCAGGTGTAATTACCGAGACCTTTATGTTATGAGTGTAACCCAAATATCGTAGATCACGACCAAACGAGTTTAAGGCAGCTTTTGTCGCGCTATAATAGCACATCTGCGGTATCGCATAATACCCTGCAATCGAAGAGTTGATAGCAATTTGGCCTTTTCTACGCCGTTGCATCTTCTTGTAAACGGTCATAACGGTTGCTAGAGTACCCTTCAAGTTCACTTCAATTATTTTATCCCAGTAATCTTCCCATTTATTTTCTCGACTTTCTCTTGTAGCACCCGCGATTGCCGCATTTGCAATGATCAAATCAATCGGATGTTTTGCATCAAAATCATCCAAAATTTGAATTAATTGTTTGATATTAATGATATCACATATATATATTGCTACATTTGCACCTTTGTTCTCGCATTTTTGTGCAACCCGACGAAGGCGTTCTTCATTGCGAGCTAAAAGTCCTAATGTGACGCCTTTTCTTGCATAGTTGACGGCAATCGCTTCACCAATGCCCGAACTCGCACCCGTGATAAATATTACATTAGGTTGTTCAGCAAAGAATATATTATAGGCTGCTTTTGGAAAATCCCAAAAAGCTAAAAAGAACGATATTGGGACAGATACAAAGCTGGTAATCAACCAAACAGCAAGTGCTTGAAACAATGATTGTGCGAATGTAGGGAGTGTCAAGGGCATTTTTTTTTGAAAAACAGGTGTATTTCTAAAAATAAGACTTTTCTGAAAAAGTAATGATGATGGATGGTATCTAGTTAAAATAAATTTAAAGATGAAGAGTTCAATAACAAAAATGAATAAGACAACGATAATATCTGAAACTTTATATTTCTTTAGAATCTAATTTTTTATCATGATTGCGTTTTTATCGAGCTTGATTTTATTATGATTGATTTTTTTAAACATGATTACATTTTCTTTTGATTTGTTTAAAAATTATTAAGTTATGAAACGAATTAAATTGTTTATAAATTATAAATCTTCTATTCTAAAAATAAAAATCGAAAATAGTATAATATTCTAGTCATCCCTCTATATAACCATAGTCACACCTCTGTTTTCAGTCCTAGCTACTATGAAGCATAGGAAATTAGCATTCTCTTGAAACCCATGCTTTTTTCTGGTCCCAAGGGCGTAATTTGATATATTCATCTTAGATTTGCTTGCACATTTTATTCAGAATTCGTTGAGCATTCGTTCCTATTAAATTCCAGAATATTAAAAAATTGAAATTTTTTTATCATTATACGCAAATTGATAGGTTAATTTACTGAAAGATCTACACTATGTACATGTACTTCTACAATCATAGTAAATCTGGTCATGTTGGACGTTACATCTTATATTTAATTAACATTTTAATTCAAAGTGCAAAAAATCTCATTTATTTTTTTATAGTTTAATTGTGTATATTAATATCAAACTATCAATTATTGGATTAATAATGTATTTCACATTGTTACTTTAAAAAATAATTCATTCAATGTTATATAAATTAAATAAATTTTTTCAAAGAAATTATACAATATCACCAGCACCAAAAATTTTTAACATATTACTAATTGTTGATAATTTCAAACTATATTCTTACTTTATAGTTTTCTTATATTAATAAATCTAAAAAGTATTATGTGTAATTGGAAGAATAATTTAAATCGCCAAAATACTTTTTGTAATATGTAATGTAATTATAACTTTCTCTTAAATTTATTATATTATTTAGCTTTAATTATTTTTATATAAATACTTGGAATATTCAATAAAATAATATTAAAATGTTATTGAAATTATCTTTATGATATTCTATTATTTAAATGGATTGATGTATCAAATAATATTAGCCAAAATTCATAAACTTTGTACTAATCGCCTTATTAAAATTCTTCCATGCTTTATAGTTTTTTAATGTTTGTATTTGTATTAATTTTGTAAATTTTTGAGTCAAACTTATAATAGAACATTTATGCGATAATTTTTATAATGTGATAGGAAGAAGTTCATAAATTCGATATCATTTTTCCAATTGATATATAACACGTTTCATTTAAGTGAAAGTAAATCTTTCTGAAAAATACTTTTGTACAGTACTCGCCATATATAATGAGAGAAATACGCCGTTTTGTATCTTTTCATTATAAAAACTGCTTGAAAATATATAAAATTCACAGATATATAATTTAATATATTGTAAACAAGTTTTCTTGAGACTACTCAATACCATATCTTATTTCTATTATTCTCAAATATTAGATTTTAATTTTGATATAATGTTATAAATTTAATTTAAAAAATTTTCTTTATTGGATTTTTTTAATACTTTAAGCTACCAAGTTGCTTGTTCGCAATATATCAAAGCATATATATTTAAATTTTATGTTTTCGATCAATTTTCATGATGTAATAAAAAAACTACGATTTGGATTAATTGACTTAGTTTCATTTATAATGTACTATCAGGATTCGATCAGATCATTGGAAGTAATTACAATATGATATTCTATAGAGTAAACTTGATCACAATATATGAAACCGTATATCTGCAAATTTTCATAAATTTTTGATTTTTTCATGGCACAATATGGAAAAACATCATTCTTATTACGTATATATGACGAGCACTGTATAATAAATAGATTTTCTGCAGAAACGGAGTTAAAAACAATCAAAGCAAGCTACGTACATAATTCAATGAATAAATGCATTGCCATTTTTAGAAATTGAATATATGAGTGTAACATTTCTACGTATTTGTAGATCGCGAGATACATGTACATGTACATGTTTTTGGCGATGCAAAATTTTAGTCGTCACTGTAACTAGTCAACTACATAAGTAATTCGAAATTATTTAAATATTATTGCAATGCTTTATCATGAAAATTTATTAAAAATAAATACACTATTTCTCGGGAAAAAATTGGTTATTTTATCTACTAAAGCCCAAAAATCGACATATAATCAAAATGACTAAATCAGCAATTATAGGAGGAAGCGTTACGATAACATCGAATCTTATTTACTAACATGTTCAAGTATGTAAGCAAGAGACAGATGTTTAGCTTTATTTATTCATATTATTCATATACATTGTTTCTAAATTTGTATCGTGCATAAATAGTAATTAAATATTTTACGCACGAATTCATTAAATGATTTTCTTATATTAAACATAAAATATGACGTTATTCAATAGCCACGTGCCATACAAATAATAAATAGCATGCACTCTAAACGATCCTTTATCAGGTCTGTCTTTTCTGAAGTAATCCATTATAATTAAAAATCTTAAAACTTGATTAGAGAAATTCATGAACAAATGAATTAAATTTTGCCTTTTATTTTTCTTTGTTTTACTTAAAGTTATTTGGGATTGTTAAGTGTACAAAATTGATAGTCTAAAAACAATTTGTTTCTTTGAAAAAAACCTAATTTAAGGTGCACAGATTTTACATAAATTGAATTATTTCGTGACGAACTAAACTTTGATCGAACAAATTTCAAACGTTTTGTATTCCGGAATACGAAACTACGATTAAAAAGCAGCCAAAGTTTGCGAGATAGCTTTTTTTATGTTTGTGAAATACCGCATTTCAACAAAATAAGCTTAATTTGATAGAATAATGAAAATAAACCAGATAAGCAAATTTGATATAATAATAATAAACCAGGTAGCCAATTTATCAAAATCAAACTATTAAACTAAATATTATCAAATACAAACCCTGACTTTTCAATCTTTGGCCAGCGCGAGGAAAAATTTAAGAGACGACTCGAATATTTAACAGCGATGCTGTATACGATTGATTCTGTCCTATTGGATTCTGAAATACCGAAACATTAACGTAATTAATTCTAATGACAGCTCGTACCATTTTGGATTGTGATTTAAAGAAGGAGTGTACGATGGTCGAGATGAATTTTCGATGTCATTTTAATTAATTAAAGAGGATATAATTCCAAAATTGGGAGTGATTCAATAAAAAGATTCCCTCTAATAGAGCTCGCTTTAATATTGAAAACACAGTGAATGTAAAAGGCATGTTATTGGTAATTTTTATTTTCTTGTTAAGGTTCAGGGTTGAATTTCATTTACAGAACTAAATTCGTCGCCTTGGCGAAATTTTACAGATAAATTAAAGTTTTCCCAAGAAATTTTCTCTACAATTATAAAATGCTTGCATGAAATTACAATTACAATTATGCAGCTGTCGATGCAGAGCGAGATCCGAGTTGACGCGTTCTGGCACCCATAATGCTCGGGGGGAGTCTTTTAGCATTATCTATAATGGTAATTTGATTTATCAAGATTATTACAACATAGTGACATGACTTTGCACTAATTTTTATAATAATGAAGGTACGTTTATATAATAAGAGTAACAATAAGTCAATCGCATTGTGAATCAAGTTCTGCAGACCCCTTTAATTTATGGGGGCAGGCTGATTAACAGGATTGTACATGTGCATTGGTAAATCAAACATAACTTGACTAAAAGCTCAAGCTTAATTCCAGGAAAAGGGGTTGCATTGTGTTATTATTTTCTAGAAAACAATCTGATTATCATGCAGTCATTGCTAATTATCAAAACGTTTAATAATAATCCAGCCATTTAAAAAAAATATCTTACAATTTCGAAGATCGAATTTTTCACTTGGCATATATACATTAGTGTAATTTATCTCTCAATTTTGTTGCTAAGTAAGTTGGTTTAACTCATTGAAAAATATGATAAGAGTAGAGGATATTCCATTCGTTTTTAACAATATGATGAAAGTAATAGAATTGCATTAGATTTGCAAGGATGAATATGAATAAGGTTTATTTTTGCATATCATCAAGCATGTCTAGATTGACTACATGTATCAAACTCTAATTCGAAAAAAAAAACAATAGAATACATTGTTCGGAATGCTTGAGCTATTTTTATTAATTGTTATTTAAAGATATCACATGTTCTTATACATGTACAAATAAATAATATGGAAATACATGTATTTAAATGGCAAATGTGACACGTATGCGCGTATGGTGAGAATAGACTTTTAATGAGAATTAGAAATTGAAAAAAATCCTATACAAATAAATAATATGGAAATATTTAAACTTTCAAATGTTACACTATGCGTATGGTGAGAATAGGCTTTTAATAAGAATAAGAAATAGAAATTGAAATTGAAAAAAAATTACCGCCATTTTTCAAGATTTGTCTTAGCGTTAGATGATCAATTATCGATAATAAGTTATGATCGATTTGTCGTTATATTAGTGTAACTTTTATACTATCAACCCCCGTTAACCCGGGGCACTAACTAACCGAAATTGGTTCCAGGTAGACATAGCAAACCCTCCCCAATAAACCAAATGTTCTGTCCGATTCTATCGCTCTCGTTGATTTTACGATCACTTACTTTTTATTTTGTTTAGAATCAACTTGGATTGTACATGAGGAAACATCAAATAAAAATTGAAATATCGAATACGGAGAAGATAACAATGAAAATAGTGAGAAAACTAACTTCCCAAATTATGAAAAGGCAGTAAAGAATTCTGTCTCGATCCTCATCAATCACCGCTTTCCCACGCATTTATCGTTATTTAATTCCGCGTCGCCACCATCTACGCCAAATTCTTTCGAATCTAAAAATACAAGAAATCGCACATCACCAATAAAATCGAGAACTTGCAGTTATCTGATATACATGCATTTACATGTACATGTATTAGAATTTACAAGTTGCGTCAACAATTAGTTCGCCTGATATAGTAATACCAGTAGTACCTTAAAATTATACATGTGGTACCTTAAAATTATCCTAGCCATAACGAAAAAAGTATCAATCACGTGATTCAGATTACAATGCCGACCATCCGAAATCCCCTTAATCATGCACCAATCAAATCGCAAGATCAATGTGTAACGCAAAAAATTGAAAAACGCTTACTTTTGAAAAATAGCTTGTATCTTGAAATTTTACTTACATGTATGAAACAATCATTTATGTTCTAACAAAAGTGTTCCTTGCGAAATTTCCTATATATTACTCTCCGTTTGCTATAATAACTCTAACCGAAACTCCTTAATATATATGCATTGATAATTAAGGAGGATATCGGATGGTCGGCATAAGGATCAGAATCGCGTCATGGCTAGGATACTATTAAAATTACTTACTACGTCAAATTCAGAAGTAGATAACGATAGTAATAAACCACATTATTATGATAATTATGCTTCTGGCAGCAATAGCAGTAATAATTACTATTACATTGAATCTATTGAATCTCCACCAAAAGCAGTGTTAAAAAATCGAGTTTCTGAAAATGATCAATCATGACAACGGCGACAAAATACGATAATATACTCGATTATCAAATTCCCTTCGTAATCATCAATTAAGTGACCCAAACATGTATCATATTATCGATTTTTTACCATGTACATGTATATAGCGGTACTTTTTTTTTGTAAATATAATTGAAAAAATCCAATAATCCTTTTTAAACTCGGATCGAATTTTTCTTTTTTCCCTTTACTTGAAATATAACTCTTGCTACATGTTTCTTAATAACAAACAAACAATAGATGTTGGAGGACATGCCACGAGTGTGTTTATGCGTTATCTTCTGTAAGACAGAAGTACTTAATTAGGAATTAAATCCAAAGAAGAAGTTAAAGCTAATTATATACACACGAGATATGGAACATGTTTGGGAAAGTCTGCGAAAACGATTCACTTTATCAAATCAATAAGCATAAATGCTTAATCCAGTATAGTGGATGCTATTGTGTCATAGTAAGGTAAAAATATCATCTTCAAGTTATTTGTTATTCGTCTTGCTAATCATAATATTTGATTATTATTTGTGTCTCTCGGAGTTAACGTTAACGGCAGACAGAAATGGAGAGGTTGTCTTGATTACCAGAATAAAACGCGTGTGCGTGTTGACATTTTAGCACCGATACCGATAGATACATGTTATCGTTATATACTAATTATAATGTAAAAATAGTCTAGATAGTTCTCTCTTGAATGCATGCACTGTAGGCTGTTTTTTTAGCAGTTTAGGCAATTCTGCACTATTTTCAGAGTTTATCTTTTTTGATTATATGCGGGAAAATAGACATTTAATTATAGCGCCCGACCTGAGATTTGCCATCCCCAGAATATTTGTCGCACACGGACACACAGCAAATGATACCTAATCCGGAACTTTTCTTTTAAATATAAGCCTTATCGTGCGAATATCAGACAAGGATTCAAATCGTCTTTGAGCCCAAAATGCTTTATGCAACAGCAAAATTTTCGCATGATCTAACCATTGATATCCCACTGCCAACACTCAATGAACTCCTGGAAATCAAAAAGATGACCAATTCATCTCCGCAAACCTCTTTTGTTGACAATCAAATCGATAAAAGCGCGTTTGGGTTATTTCTACTTGTATTTGGGAACGAAGTTTATAAAAAAACAGAATTTTCTGCAAAATTGTGGGATAAATTTACAGCGGTCGGAAGGGAAACTTGGAGCAATGTAAATGAGGCATATCGAGATGCTTTTGATAAACTTGCTATTGAACTAAATTCTCGAGATGAATAGTTTTTAAAAGAGTAGTCAACACTTTGAGAGATCTAGAATTTAGATTTAACAAATAATTTGAGAAGTCTAAACCAATATCATATAAGCCAATAAAAATTATTGATTGAATTTTACATTCCACATTTCGACCGTAACGACATGGCCAAGACAATTAATTGTCTGTTTTTCTATGATATCGTTTATACATGTACATGTACACAGCGAAACAATAACTTTAAGTAAAACAATGAAAAATAAAAAGACAAAATTAAATTCATTTGTTCATGAATTTCCTAATAAAAGTTTCAAGCTTTTTAATTACATGTATAATGAATTACTATTTATTATTTGTACATGAACGTATTTCACATGGTCAATAAATTTCACATGCATCATGTCAATCACTTGGATTATATTACATACGTTCGTATTACGTACATGTATTTATTACTAACGCTAATGCATGTAATTTGTAAGAAAATTCGTATTACCTGGCCTGGATTTAATTAAAACAACTGCTGACAAATACGAATGATTTTAAAAAACTCGCGCTTTTAACGAGTAAATTTTGAAAAGAATAGAATTTGGATAGCCAATAAAATTCATTAGTGAGAATTAAATACATGTAGTACATATCGATATCGATATAATATAATACCATATTACACGGATTAAAGAGATTATTAAAGAAAAAACAATATTCAATTTATAAAGCATACAAATTTATACAGTAATATTTGGTACTTTAATTGCATACTAAAGTATTTTTTCTATTTATTAATGTAGTGATATAAAATCTGCTTATATGTATGATTTATTAACTATAATTTATTCTGTTTTCCATATTAGGACACATTCTGCTATTATGTCCAGTTTTGTGACATATACTACATTTTCTAATATGTCTTCCCAGTTTAACCAATTCAAAGATGAACAGATCTCTTTGAGTAGATGATTAAATATCACTTCTTGCTCTAATTGGATATCATCTCATGTGTTACACCTGTGAATTTTGCAGAATTATAGTTGGCTCTTGAAATAAATTTGAAATTCATTTAGAGTTACTGCTTATTGGTGAGCTGGTCAAAAGTTGAATTGCTGGCTATATTGTTGTTGCAAGGATCTCTAGTTCCAGTTAATACTTGTAAAAGCAATTAATATCTCTAAAGCAATCAATATTAATAAAAATTAGTAAGTTATAATACTAATTATTAATGAAATACTTCTGAATTATATAAGAGCAAGAAAGATTTATTAATAACATAAAAGCATTACTATAAAATTACAATAAATTTTTGAAGTTACATTAAATATTATTGTAAGTTTGTTCATTAATTATAAAATTAGTTATCAAACTTGAACTTGAATGAGAGAGAAAATTAAATAAATAAATTAAATACTAAGAAAATAAAACTAAACTGAATTTTTATCTGAGTTCAAGTCTAGTTCAAAATTTGAATTGAACTTAAATCAAATTTTGGTTTGAGTTCAAGAAAAGTTCAAAATTCAAATTAAATTGTTATATAAGTTCAAGTCTGATTTGAGTTCAATTAAAACTTGACATATAGTATTATATACCAATTTGTAGTTTTAAATAAGAGTTATAACTTTAATTACTTTAATTATAAGTACTAAATTATAGTATTTAATAATAATTAAAAGTTTATTTAGTAATAACTAAATTATTTTTATTTTTATAATTATTAAATTTTATTATAAATTCTGTTACAGTTGTAACATAAAAATTGTTAATTCCAAAAATAGTCGAAAAACATAAAATATTTAAAAATATTCATATAATAGCAAAAACCCCTCAAATTATTT